AACGAATTAGTTAATTATAAAATACGATATAGGAATATAAGGGAGGATCAGAGGTGAAGTGCATCCTGGCTACAGTCTTTTTACAAATTTTTCACCAATATTTTCTTAACGTTCTTCATACTCTTGCATGTGTTCAGATTTAATTGTTTTTAAATTTTCTGTTTTAAATTTAATTGTTTTTAAATTCTGTTTGAAATCCCAAATCAATTACTTCACAATACAAACAAATTTTCTTTTCCAACTTAAGGGGAATAGTTGAATTAATACTTGGTGCATTAATCCTCGAGGGAACGATATCTTACTTATCACTTTATTACTTGAAACGAACGGTATACTTGCCGATTTCGCAACAATAGAATGCGGGCATTGAGGATCATACTCATGATAACTTGATCACAAAGGCTCTGATACCATATAAAAACATATTTCAACTAAAAATTTTGAGTTATTAAATGAATGTTACATTAATAATTTCATATTATATTTCTCAGAAAAAAGTAGTAGGTGATAAATGTCATTTCAACCCAAAACCTTAAATCGTTAGCTGAGGCTACATTAATTATCTTTGTATCTTTTTGGATATCTCTAACACACCCCTTTGACACAAGAGCCCTTTGGGCTTGAAGTGTGGATATGAACTAGCCCAATTTTTTTGTCGTCCTGTGTTTTTCTTAGTTCCACTAGAAACTGGGGGCGGTGAGGATCGAACTCGTGACGTCATGGTCACTGAAAATCTGATAACATGATAGCAAAAATTTAACCCAAAACCTTAAGACATTGGGGGAGACATAATTAATTATTTATTTTGTTTCTCAGTGTTAGAAAGATCCAAAAAATATACAAAAATAATTAATGTAGTCTCACTTACACTTATCTTGGTATCAGAGATATAGTGACCAGGAGGTCATGAGTTCGATCCTCACATCCCCCACTTTCAAGTGGAATTAAGAAAAACACAATCCAAAAAATGGGCCTATGCAGCACATGGTAGACCAAAAAAATGAGCTTCGATACCATAGGGCTCTTGCGAGAGAGTGTATGTTAGAGAGATACAAAATAATTAATTAAGTGTCACCCAATATCTTAAAATTTTGGGTTAAAATAATGCTTATGAGTAAGCTCTAGCCTTTCTCATTGGCTCAGTTATTTGACGGTATTTCATGTAGCCTTTAACCACACCCATTCAAAAGGAAGAAAGAAGCTCGATGGATATAGAACATGAATAATCAAAATATAACTCAAACCAGTGGTGGACCCAAAATTTTTTATTTATATCTGCAAATTGAGTGGTGGGGGTTTGCTACCCCCGGAAATTTTTTTAAACAAAATTTTAAATGCATTAAAAAATAAAAGAATATAAACAATGAGGGATTTATATCCCTCATGTTATATGAACCAAATTTTTGTCATGTTAAAAAAAAGGCAAGACCAATTCATTGAATAATGTACCCTCTTACTTTCTTTAATATTATATAATTTGTCTTTTTCTTAACATGATAAAAAATATAGGTCATATAACATGAGTGATATAAACCCCAAGAAAAGAAAAGAAAACTTCAACTTAAAATAAAATAATAATAATCAACTTAATGATATAAAAACACTAAAACATAAGCAGTAAATAAGATGTATTTTTTTCTTAGTACATGTGCTTGCATTCTTGGCAATGTAGCCACCAAAATTAATCCTTTCATTTCTAATTAATTAAAAAATGTATCTCCAAATTTATGTCTGCACTTGCCCACATTGGCAATTGAGCAAGTCCGCGAGTGACTCGAACTACTCTACCAGAGGTCTCAAGCAGTGGCGGATCCAAAAAATTATATTTATGTCTACACATTTGTCCCCAAATTTTTTTTTTAAAAGAAGGTATGATTATCCTTTTCCAGCCAATTTAGCTACAGCTTAGTGTATCTACTTTGTCACATATACAGGGTGGAGTATAACTCAGATCAGTACCTTTAGGAAAAGGAATTCTCCCTTGCAGGTAGAACATACCAAAGGCAGTCGTTGGAGGCAAGTATGGACATTATTTGCTCAAAGTTCGCTTACAATTAATGTTGTCTATATATAGAAGTTTCATCATGATTCCAATTATTTGCTTATTGCTAGATTATCTATTTTTTTAATTATGCAGCTCAAGAATTTCAAAGGCTATACCTTAAATTATAGTCATTATCTCCCAAAAAAAAAATTCAAAAAAATTTGTGTCTGTACTTGCCCACACTTTAACAAGTGTGAGTCCGCCTCTGGTCTCAGGTATAATTTAGTTAAATTTATGATCATATGTTAAACGGTAATGAAGATTAGTTTAGAAAGGAGATGATATTGAAGCCCTACATTAAGATTTATATGAAGGTTGCTTTTCAATTTCCCAACCAAAAAGGCCACATCAGTACGTGGCCAAAGAAATGGAAACTTATACCAATGGACTAAGCAATAATTTATCGCAATAAGTGACTCCATCAATCTTATTCCAAAAAGCATTAAGATAATGAATTTAAAATTATTTTATTTAGTTTATTTCTAATTAATATGGGTCTTCACTACTCAATTTGAAAAAAAGAAACACACAAACGTTTACCAAAAAAAAAAAACAAACAAACCGTCAAGCAAGTTTTTATTGAACGGGTTAGATTAAAATGACAAAGGTAGAATTTTACTTTTAGATTAATTGATTAAAATGACAAAGGTAGAATTTTACTTTTGCATGCATGCATGCAGATAGTGGTGTGTAAAAAATATGTCATTCAAATCCTCGTACACTACTTTATGAAAGCACCTAAAAATTACGCACGTCCGTATATTACCTTTCATGCACGTCTTCCATCACTCCACCTTCACCCACGCGCGAATATATATATATATATATATATATATATATATATATATATATATATATATAGGAAAGATATTTTTTCATGTTGCGTGATAATTCAATTTTTATGTTGTGACCCTTCGATTTGCATGCACAACTTTTCTTTTCTTTTTCATTTTTTAATAAATATGAGGCCCACCACTAGTTGAGTCACAACATGAAAATTCAATTCTCATGCAACATGAGAAAATCAAACCCTATATATATATATATATATATATGTTAGAATTATTTTACACTAATATAAGTTACACTTTTAATCTTGACTATTGATCGTATGTATATCTAATAGCTCTAATTTATTAGATATGTGAGCCGTTAGATTTAAGCAGATCAATTATCATGATTAAGTATAAGACTTCTTATTTGTACACAAGTGTAAGAGTAACTTTTATATATATATATATATATATATATATATATATATATATATATATATATATATATATATATATATATATATATATATATATATATATATATAGGTATGATCTTTTAACACCAGTGATAAATTTTAAAATTTGACACCAAATTCTAACAATTGATTTCCGTCAATCAATGGTTATAATTTATTGGGAATTAATAATTAATTCATAATTTTGATTGGCGAAAATTGTAACCGTTGATTGGCGAAAATCAATAATTAGAATTTTGTGTCAAATTTTAAAATTTGACATCGATATCAAATATATATATATATATATATATATATATATATATATATATATATATATATATATATAGGGAAAGATTTTCTTGACTCTAAGGTAAGACTTAGAAGTCTTACTTTCAATCTCAATCGTTGATGGATTGAAATCAACGATTGTCATTTGTATTGTAATTAATAATTAATTAATCAGTATGACTTTCAAAACTATAACCGTTAGATGACAGAAATCAACAGTTAAGATGGAGAGTAAGACTTGAAAGACTTACTCTAGAGTCAAAATATCCCTCTCTATACACACACATATATATATATGGTAAAATTATTTCTACAGCCGCTTTACGTACAACAATGACAGTGTATGGTTATAATTTCTCACATTTAAAGCTTTTATCTTTTGTATGATTATAATTTCTCACATTTAATACTTTCACATATATATGGCAAATATTTGGCTGCTGCAAGTACAGCAGGCGCAGAAATATAAACCCCTATATATATATATATTTATATATGTATATATATATATAGGGTTCATCGTTTCTCAAGTTGCTTAAGATAACTTTATCTTCGGATACTAAATCATAACCATAGAAATATGGATCAATGGTGATAAAGGAAGAAAGAGAAAAGGAAAATCATAACCATTCAAAGGAGAATCAATTAATATAAGGAAATAAATAAACAAACGACGTAATTTTGGGATAACTGGAGATAAATATATCTCAAGCAGCTTGAGAAATATTTTTCTCATATATATATATATATATATATATATATATATATATATATATATATATATATATATATATATATATGGCTTTACTTTTCTCCAGCCGCTTGACTTCAAGCAAATAAATTCGGAAAATCATAATCATAAGGTTGGTAAAAGTATTAAATGCGGAGAATCATAATCAATCAATAGTATAACATAAGATCTATTGCTGGATGTCGAGAAGCCGGAGAAATGATTTTACCATATATATATATATATATATATATATATATATATATATATATATATATATATATATATGAGGTAGGATCCTTTGACATCGGTGTCAAATTTCAAATTTGACACCTCATCTGAAAGCCGTCAAATCAAAAAAGATCAACGACTCTGATTTGCAAGCATGTGACACCATTGATCTTTTTTGATCTGACGGCTCTCAGATGAGGTGTCAAATTTGAAATTTGACACTAGTGTCAAAGGATCCTACCTCTATATATATATATATATTTATGTAACAGGAACCAAAATTGTTTTCCCGTAGATACAATTTTCGGTGGGACCCACGAATTAAAAAAAAAAAGGCACTGTTATCTATGAAAGCTGTGAGTGTAGGAATCTTTTTTTTGATTCCTATTACATAACTCTTACATTTCTTATATATATATATATATAAATATATAGGGTATTGTCTTTCTAATGTTACATAAGAAAGAAATCCTTTCATGTATACACAAAGTGATGCAATGTGGGTCGTAGTTTGTATCTTTCTCTCTCCTCTATTTAGTGAGACTTATATTACACTTTGTGTATGCACAATATGATGTTGAGAAAAATAATACCCATATATATATTATACCCAAATAACTCTTGTGCATACATGTATATATCCAAAGAAATCATCAAATACTTGGCTATATCCGATACCATATACAATATACCCTCCCAAACTTTATGAATCCTATAATTATAAGCTAATAGAAATCTTTGCAAGTATATATATAGTTCTATACTACTTACTATCCATCTTTACAGGGACTCCCATGCCACGAATATTAGTATACCATAGTGATTGTGTATGTCTAAGCAATATGCCTCTTGCTTTCTTTTACTCTGAACTGATTTTTCTGCCTTCAGTTCTCAGGCTACAAAATCTGGCAATAACTGTGAAGCAAACCTCTTTCTGTTTTGAATGTCAATACTCTCATAACTGGTGCCTGAGTGAGAAGAAGGTTGAGTGTTGATTGCACAAAACTCATTTCCATTGGTTCCCATCTCAAGTCTCCTTCCTAAATGTATATTCTGTGAGAGAAATCCATGTTGAGTTCCTGAGATAGGAAGGTTCTCATTGTGGGGAAGTCCCAGAGTAAGAGAAACACCATTTCCATGGAACCTAGAAGCCAATTGCTCAGTTACATTAAACCTACTTCCAATGTCTTCCATTGAGAACGCTCCAAAACCCCCTCCATGGTTTGTATTGCCAGTCATTAAAGGGTAGCCATCTCTGTTGTGCCTTTCAATGCCAAACTTTGTGTTGGCTTCTCTATTTGTATCTCCTTGCTTCATTTCCATGTCCACTGAAAGGAAACTACTTGGAGAGTTCTGCATTTCTGAACTTCTTGGCTTATTTGGATGACTTTGCATGTGATGGAAACCAGAGTGGGATTGAAAGGATCCTCTCATGGGAGAGGTGGACATTGAAGAATTTGTTGAGATTTCGGTTGGAGATGTGTTTCGGTTGTTGAAGCTTTCTTGTTTTGATTGGAGAACTTTAATTTGATCAACTTTAATGGCACCTGATTCCTGGGTAACATTTGTTGTTGACCCCAACTCCTCTGATCTGATGTTATCCGAAACATTAGTATCTTCTTGCTCCTTGATTTCTTCCAAATACATTTCTTCAACCATTGGTTTCCAAAGCCGAACTCGGGCATTAATAAACCAGTTTGACACCTGCATTAAAAAACTTAAGAATATCACAAACCTCTCACATTGCCATAACTGTCATTATCAGTTAATGTTACCAAACATGTAATTTAAACCAAGGGGAAAAAAACACATATTTGTTAGTGTCCTATATAAATATAGAGGAAGCATTGCATGGTGTTATAAGGAAATATAATCTAGATAACCTATTTCATCCCTTTCAATAAATAAAGCATCCTCTTCCTCTTCAGAAGCCCTTAAGGAAATTTGCGAGGGAAAGTAGTAGCGAGGATGAAATTAGCGACAGAATTTGCATAGCAATTCCCTCGCTATACACGATTTTTCTAGTAGTGCTTTAAGTAATTCACTAAAGTACAAACATATTGAATTCTTACTATATATTGGTTCTTCTAGCAAGTCCAGTTTGTTTAGCAAGCATAACTTTATCAGAATCTTTTGGATAGCTGCAGACCATAATTAAAAAACTCTTTTTAACTTGATATCAAGGATGCAATATGCTACCTAGAAGTAATTAACATAGACATAAAGGTTAATTAATTGTCTTTAGATACTATAACTAACTAGTGCTAGATATAATTAATGTTACATACGGGTGAAGGAAATGCTCAAAAAGCCAAGCACGAAGAATGGAAACAGCTCGTTCAGGCAAGCCTCTTTGGGGTCTCCAAGCATTGGGTTGAATCATTCCAAGCTGTTGTAGTGCCCTTTGTTGCCGGAGATGGTGATCAACATACCTAAGTTTCGAACCTTCTACCTTAACTCCAAAGAATTCATCTTCACCTAAGGTCATGCTCGTTGCTCTGATTTGTGAAGAGATTGCATCTTTAAGACTTCTAAATTGCTTTGAGATAGTCTTTAGGGCAAGTGCTGTGTAAGATTTAGCTGCCCCAAAACCCGCTGCTTGCTCAAATGATGATATTACAATTTGCATTTGGTGATGATATTGCCTATACCTTTGCTCTACCTGCAAATTTATTTTTTTTAACAAAAAAAAAAAATCATTAATTATAATCGCATACGATATATTATATTAAAACTGTACCTAGTTAAGAGTTATAAGACTCGCTGTTTTGAATAAAGAAAAAAAAGTTATTCTACCTACCATTTTTTTTGTCTACCTTTGCCTAATACTCTCTGTTAGATCAGAATCTTAAATAACATATTTATCTTTCTCTCTCTTATTGAGATTCTGATCTAACAGTGTTGGAGAGTGATAGACAAAAGTAGGCGGAAAGAATGATAGGTAGAATAATTTATCCCTAAAAAAATTGTTAATTTGAGATGCATCATGAAATGACACAACTTAAGAAGTTAGAAATTTGTCATGAAACTGACCCAAATGGGTCCAAACTCAAATTATTCTGTGACATTCACCGGACCAAGTTACTATTCTTACCAGTTTCCTTTCTTCTACACACAATTTAAGGACACAAGTAAGAATCATACATAATTTTCCAATCACTGAATCACCACCAGAGACTGAATCATGAGTAACAAAATAACCAAACCGCACTGCAATTAACTGAAAACTTAATTACAGTACATTCACAAGATCAAACATATATTTCACCATAGAACTTACCTCATCGAGCATGGTGATAAGCTTGGACTTCTTCATCTGAAGTTCTTGTCTCTGAGCTGTACTAAGTTCAGCTACTTGCTTGTTTGCACTGTTTTCTCCTTCACCACTTGAACAGTCACCAACACCAGAACTAGATTCTCTCTTCGCTTTCATTTTCTCTTTATTTTCTCCCTCTGCGAATTTGTCGTCTTTGTAGATTCCCTTACCCACGTTAACAACTTCATCGAGAAGCTCCTGCGCTGCTTTAAAAAACTTTGACCCCAAAAGAACGCCGTTCACGCTCGAAACTCCGTTGGACACCGACGACGGAGAATTACCTATTCCGGCGACCTGAGCATGTCCTTGAAGGTCAAGCTCACCGGAAAGAGACGTGTAAGCTGTTTGCTGCGAGGAAAGGCTGAGCGACAAACCCTGCTGACTAGGCTGCCGGAAACCAGCGCCGCCATCGCCGGAGCTTCTAGACGTGGTTGCAGCGGCGGAGGACGGTTGCTCAATTACCTGACCCCACAAGTTATAGTGCACGCGAGGGGCTGCCGCCGCGGAGGAGAAGCCGTGGAAGGCGTTGATTTCGGGGTGTCCGAGAAAAGGTGGTCGGTTGTGATTGTCGGAGTTGGTGGATCCGAGGATGTTTGTTACCCCATGAATCAGGTGGTGCTGCTGTTGTTGGTTGGGGGATGGTGGCACTTGCGGCGCGTGAGGGAAGTTGGCGAGGTTGAGCGCGTTGGATGGAGTGGTAGCGTTGGAATTGACGAGGAGCATGTTGGGCGTTGTTGAGTGTTGTGGCGCGTCAGGGTAGGGTACGTAGGTTGGGTTCATAAGGTAAAGTGTCTGCAACCCATCCGCAGAAGATTGAATATCAGAAGTGTTTCCATGAAAGTACGTCGCCATGTTTGTCTGTGACACTGTACGGAACAAAAGAACTTTCTAGAATTACTCTTTTCTTTTCTAGGTTCTTTCTTTCTGATATCTGCTCAGTGTTCACACTTCACACCTTGATCTTGATTAGCCCATTATATGTATGTATATATTTTGTGTAGAATTCTTAATTTTGTCACATATCCTGAAAAGCAAGCGAAAAGAACCTCGGTTGCTGTTAATGAATCCGAGTAAGTACCTACCTTAAAATTTGCAAAACAAAAATGGACAAATAATTAACGAGACGTACCCCCCAAAAATCAATCTTCAGATGCAAAAAAAAAAAAACGATTGTTTATAGAAAATTGATGATGGAATTGAAGAAAAGAAATAGAAAAAACCCGGGAATGATCATCTTAAAGAGAAAGAAAGAAATCAAAATACAAAAAATAAAAACAGATCCCATCAAAGAGTATAAGTGTGTCCGTACCATTTCCCAATTAATAGGGATATTAAAGCGAGCTATAGTCACGAGGATGAAGAGAAAGAAGGTAGAAAGGTGGTGTCTAGCTAGAGAAAGTGTCCATCATCGAGAGGCAGAGGAGCAAAAGAGGAGAGTTTCAACTGGTTCTTGTCATGACTCATGAGTATTCTCTGCAGCTCTGTCCTCTACAAGTGAATTTTTTTATATAAATTTATAATATTTTAAAAAAGGCATATGAGTGATCTGTGATGACTGAGGAGATTGTGGTCCTTTATATTTTACGTAATAATTTTAATTTTAAGTGTACTTAGAATTAATATTAATGTAATTACTTGTATTTATGAACAATAAGAGACAGCTCCACATTGTTTTTCTTGTTTTGTTTTGCACACACTGATCTAGCGCTTTCTATATGCGTCTTATTATCCTCCACACTTTTTTTTTTTAGCTTCTTTTTTTTTTTTTTTTTTTTTAGTGTGTGTGTTTGGTAAGCATAAAAATTAGAAAACCTAGTAGACAAAAAACCACTCCATGCCCTTGTTTGATTATAATAAACCAAACACCTTCATCACCTCCTAACACGCACTTAAACGAAAAAGAAATTCGATTAAGTTGTCATAATTACGTACGTCTTCATGAAATTCTATAATAGAGTAAACATAAATCAGAAAAAGAGATTGAAAAAAATGAGTGTGGGGTAGGAGATGGAAGACTTGAAAAAGCAAGATAAGGTCACAAAGGGGTTACTCTTGGATCTTGATAAAAATCTGGCCCTTGGTTATTCGAACTTTACAATAACTCCTCCTCTTTGGTCTTGACTACTTTTCTTTTCGCATACCCCATTTCTAAAATTCGTTTTATTTTCTTTAAATTTTTTGTGGTTGGAAGCAGAGCTAGAAGATAAAACAATAGAAAGGTAAACGGAAGTATGTAACTATGCATGATTTTAAGTTCTAACCATGACATTATGTAATAAAAGAATACTAAAACGGCCATGTATACAATAGTAACGCAAAATTCAAAAAGTGTTTTTAATTTACATGGGATATTTTAATTTAATTTCTCATTTTTCGATGTATATATAATTAATTATTCTCAGAAAACTATGACTCGAAATGTACATACAACTAACGAAGCTAATGTTATGTACTATATAGCCAGACACCACTAATTAATTGGGTGTTCCTTATTCCTCCTTTTTCAATGATTCCCTCTCAATTTTTTCATTTTTCTATTTTTAGCCGTGATGATGGTGCTCCCAGAACACCAAAAATGTTATCCACTAATGAACCAAATAGGGGTGTCCAAATGGATTGACACAACATGAATTTCACACGAAACAAATTTGACATGTCATGAATACATCAATATAAACACGACACGAATACATCAATATAAACATGACACGAATTTTTTGCAGGTTGATATAACATGATATGAATAACATGCAAAATAGTGATCAAAACAATAATTGATAATAAAAAAACTTAAAAATGGGTCAAAAATAAAAGTAACAAATAATTAGAAAAATCCGGATCGATACGAATTTCACACGTGACACGACACAAATTTTTTGATGGTCACTTTTTCCAACACAAACACGACACAAATTTTTTTACGTGTCAATCCGAACACCAATTATTGTGTCGTGTCGCGGGTCAACATACGTGTGATAACATGTTTGGACACTCCCACACTAAACATGTGCCACATATGCATATTAGAAATAATATTATATAGAAACATATGAACTACAAAATCATCCCCAACTGTTCCCACAAAATGTATGCACTACACCATGACCGGTCATGCAATGGTTAAAATTGAGATTTTACGTAAAATTAGAAGGGAGATAAAAAATCGTAAAACATAAAATCGTAACGTAAAAAATTATAAAAACGTAAAAATATATGGAATATGAGTAAAATCGTTTTGATGAAAAAAAAATCATAAAAATATAAAATGATAAATCGAAATTTTAACTACCATCACACCCACCAATGATTTTTTATCTTTGCTTGGAAAGGTAAAACAAAAAGTTTGTTTCAATTAATTACTTTGTCCGTCCCTAAAATATCCCGCCTCAAGTTAGTTTTGCGGATTAGAGCATGTGTTTCAATATTTTATTTAAGAATTTTCATGCACAGCATAGCCAAGTTCCTTGAAAATCTGAAGATGTCCAAATACTATCATCACGGTATCTACTACCCCTTAAAAGCCAAAAAAATTAAAGCATTTCTGAAAAGGAAAAAAACCGAGTCCTACCTGATTGTATGTTAATTAAAATAAACTTCTCGTTCCTAGAAATATATAAAATGGTGATGTTCATCATTAGATTAATATAATTCATCGGAAAAATAGTGCTCTTAGCTTATATCACTCTCCAGGTGACACTCATACAGCCAACACATTAAGAAAGAACAATATCTCTTTTTGATCCTCAAATATTATTTTTGAAAGGAATTTAAATATCTTATTTTTCATATGTTCTCTCATTTGAATTAATCTCGTAATCGGTTCGAAGAGTCAAAATTTATAAAGGGTTCATTTTTTCTAAAGTTATTTTAGACAACTTTATCTAATGTTCGCCGAAACGACGTCGTTTTGGGGCAAAAATCATGGTGTATTTGTAATTTTAATATATTTCAGGGTTATAATAGTCTTTATCATTCTAATTTTTAAACCTTAAAACGACGTCGTTTCGGTGAACATTAGATAAAATTATCTAAAGTAACATTAGATACTTTTTTTCTTATTTATAAAAATACTAATAGAAATCCACTCGCCTCAAAGAATAATTAGAGTTGAGTTAATTTAAATAAAAAAAAAAAAACTCATTAATTGCTCAAAAACTTTACAAAACTTATTCAATATCTTTTCACTGAAAAGTGACATCTGGAAAATTAAAATCAATAGTCAGAAATACAGTTAGCTCCTGTCAATTCTAAGTGAATACTTGTCACATGCATAATCCTTAATTAAGCGCTGATAATTTTTTAACTAATTTATCATTGGCTACTAGTCAATTAAATTTCTTTATTCCAAGATAATTTTATATCACCTAACTGATACCTCGGTGGATTGACGCATACAATATATATTTAAAGGGAAAAACGGGGTGGCGGAGCGAGCAAAAAGTTCACCTAGCGCTAAAAAATTCAATTAGGTAAAATTCGTTAGTGTCAATAATTTATTATAAATAAAGTTCTTTTTCGGTCTCTAATAAAAAAATGTGATTCTCACTTTTGTCCCTTACAAAAAAATATCCATATTAGATCTAGAATTGTAGAATGACCAAAAATTGACATTTTTTTTGTAATAGACTAAAATGGGGACCATGATTTTTATTATAGACCCAAAAAGGGCTTTACTCGAGTATTATTTTGAATAAAGTATCTTTTGGATCCTCAACAAAAATCATAGGACCCATTTGAATTCCTTAAGGAAAAATTCGACTTATGCTCCCTCTGAAATTCAAAATAGACACAATTAATCAAAATTGTGGTCCCTCTGAAATTCAAAGAAGACTCATGTTAGTCCCTCAAAAGAACTAATATGGGCTGATTTTGAATTTTAGAGAGATCACAAGTTGATTTTTTTTTTTAAAGGATTAAATTGGGCCTTGTGATACTTGTTAAGGACCAAAAGGTACTTTACTATATTCTTTTTAAAAACATAACCAATACCAAGACTATATCATAATTTTTAAAGAAAATATATAGCATTTTTGAAAGTCAGTGCCAAGGCACTAGCTAGCTAGCATGGCTCCGCTACTGGAAATATTTATCTTTTTAAAGAATATAACTTTGTATCATTTTAGATGAAATGATGTTATTTTAGGGCATAATTGATAATTTTTTGTATTCTCTCTCCTCCATAAAATTAGGAAGAAAGAGAAAGGGGAGGAGAGAGAATACAAAAAATTATCAATTATGCACCAAAACTACGTTAATTCATTTAAAATTACACAAAGTTATATCTTTTAAAATCACAAATATTTTTCCCATATTTAAATTATATATAAGAATTTCGACCATGAGAGTTTTAAAAAACAAAATTCCTTGTCTCATTTGTTGGGTTTCTCTTATTCTTAGATAGTTAATTTCAAGGCTAAATGAAACAGAAAAAATTTATTCTTTCATGTTTTAGAGAAATTCAATCTATCCAAAAGCCAAAGTTATCTTTTTATCGACAACAAGTCAACACTAAATATTAAAAAAGAAAAGGAAAAATATTTGAGTGATAGCAAGAGCTAAACAAAGCATTAAAATCGGATTAAAAATTATCTAGACAAAATCCTATTAAGTATTATTTTGATCTAAAGATTTTCTATTTCATTTCTCAAAAATTTTAAGAGTGACACCTGATTAGACCAACAGTTTCTTTTTATCTCATCTAATGGTATCTGTTTCATCCCTCTTAAACGCTCTGTTGACTGGTTTCATAATGGATTACGAGGTTTAATTATTTAAAAAAAAAACTACTATACAAGTTAATTCTCGAACTCAAATACGTTAACAGGTGGGATTTCACTTTAATTACATCTATCAACATGTTAATTAACATCGCTTTTAATCATAAATATCTAATCAAGAAGATAATTTATATAAAAAAAAGGAATCTATTAGTCATTATTAAAAAGTGGGACGGAAACGAGAGAGACTTACAAGTATCTGCTATCCCATAATTTAATATTAGAACTTTCAATTTTGGATGTCCATGATGGGCACAAGGTACCTTTGTCATTTTGTCATTGTTAAATATTATTTACCAATACGGGACACTAATTTTGCACCATCCGACCAACACAAACAATATGCTTCTGATTTAACGTCATTACTGATTAAGCATCCTGGTGCAAATATATATATATATATATATATATATATTTTTTTTTTGAGATATTTCAATCGATTCATCGTTTCGCGATTAGTTCGATCAGAGCGGATATTGGGATTAAGACTTTAAGTCTCTTCCAAAGACGATACTGAAACAATTATAATAAACATTTTTTAAAAACTTTTCTTTACATTAATAAATGGAGATTTGAATTTTTAAAAGGAAAAAAATCTATTATACCAAAACTACTTTTGAGCTTTCGAAATAAAAACTTAAAAATAGCATATTATAGAAAAAAATGGGTTATTCATGACTTTGTCTATACAAGTTTTTTTTTTTTTGGTAAACACTATACAAGTTATTCAC